TTATAACCCTAAACCCTTAAATCTAAACCCCAAACCCCTAAACCCGCAACCCTACCCTAAGCCCCAAACCGCCCTAAACCCTAAACTACAAGCGCTAAACCCTAAACCACAAACCCTAAGCCCTAAGCCTTAAACCCTATACCCTAAACCCTAAACCCTAACCCCGAAACCCTAAGCCCCAAACCCCAAACCCTAAACCCTGAATCACAAACCCTAAACCCTAAACCCTAAACCCTAAACTACAAACCCTAAATCCTAAGCCCGAAATCCTAACCCCTAAACTACAAACCCTAAACCCTAAACCCCGAAACCCTAAGCCCCAAACCCCAAACCCCAAACCCTAAACCCTGAATCACAAACCCTAAACCCTAAACTACAAACCCTAAACCCTAAGCCCGAAATCCTAAGCCCTAAACTACAAACCCTAAACCCTAAGCCCTAAACTACAAACCCTAAACCCTAAGCCCTAAACCCTAAACCACAAACCCTAAACCCTAAACCCTAATCCCTAACCCTAAGCCCTTAGCCCTAAGCCCTAAGTCCTAAACCCTAAACCCCAAACCCTAAACCCTAAGCTCCGGCCCAAACCCTATACCCTAAGCCCTAAACCCTATACCCTAAACCCTATAAGGTTTACAGTTACCAAAATTAGTGTTGAAGGGTTTATCGAGTGAAGGGTTGATGTAAGGGGTATAGAGTTTATTTTTACCAGTCCACCAAAGAGTTTAGGGTTTAGCGTTTAGGGTTTGTGGTTTAGGTTTGTAACGTTTGGTCATTAAGAAAATTAATGTTGATTTGTTTGATCAGTAATTACAATGGTGTTTATATTATCAAATTGGCTATCAAAATAAACCAATTTTGTAATTCAAATTAGTGTATGTCCACTATAAAGTTTAAGACTTTAAATTTGTGATAATTTCAAATTTGAAATAATTTTTCGCATCCGACTACCGTGTTATCATCTAAGCGGGTAATTATGATAAAAAAATTTTTTTTTATGTATTACAGGTAATTATGAATCCGTTGAAGATTTTAAGGTTGAATAAAATTTTTACAAGGAAAATTTTTGTATACACCGGTTTTTAGTAATTTACTGTACACATCGGATACACTTTTGTCCGATTTAGTTTCACTATTGTCAAATTTATCAATGAAGCGTAAATAACTTTTATATATGTCAAAATAACTTTTGTGCGTTTTACTGCAAATTTTATTATCACTTTATAACGGATGTTCGGTAATTTACAGAACATCTGTTTTATTTAAAAGTTTGTGTTTTTTCAAAGAGGAAGGGTACAAAACTGTGATTGGTCTCTATATCACAAATAAAATAAAGTTATGGAGTGATTTATTTATCGTAGCTAGGGAAAAAAAATTATGATGGTTTCAAAGAAAAAAAAATTATTAGGATTTCCAGGCAAAAAAAAATTAAGATGGTTTCTAGGAAAAAGACTGATATTTTTTAATTTCTAGAAATTTAAAATTATTAAGATTTCTGGACCCATCATTTAAAACAAAAATTATTAGGACTGCTATAAGTTGATTTTTTACAAAAACAAGTCCAATATGCTTGGATTTTGGATGGTCGTACGTTGAGGTTTTGTATCAACTTGACCTTGGAGAAAAATAATAATAACACTTATGTCAGTAAGGACAACTCAAACAAGAGGTAGACAGCTTAGTATCTGATTCTAGGCACCCGTTGCTTTTTTTACTTAGCTCAAATACTTAGCTCAAAAAGTGCAGTGGAAGTAGCTGAGTGTAGGTGTATAGCCTGCGGTTAGTTTCCAATTTTTTGTATTAACATAAAGCCAAAAATTAGGGATAGGTGAATATTCATAAAAACTTACGGTCAAAACATGGGAAATGTTGCAGTTCTTTAAGTTTTCATGTGAATAGCAAATCAGAGGGAAGATTTGAAATCATTATGGAAAGATTTCCCTGGATTTAACTTATGTAATTATTTCGCAAATCACATTTACAATCACAATGTCATTTCGCTGGATTTTTAGTATACAATATTTGACTCTTTTCATTTGGAAAGTTGGAGCACCTTGTTCTAAATAATAGCCAACAATTTAAAATACAATTTGAAATACATAAAAAAAAATATATATATATAATGGTTAACAATATTTCGTTAACAAAAAAATAAAAAAACAAAAGAAAAAAAGGCCAACAATTTGGGATGTAACATTTTTATGGAAAATAAGTGTTGGCCATTTCCGAATTTTAAATTAAATATTTAACTTAAAATAAAACAGACGATTAGCTGACTTTAGCAAAGAATATATTAGGGTGTGTTTATTGGGAGTCTTGTGGAGAGTTTTGTGGAGAGTCTTGAGTGGAGTCTTGAGTAAGTCTTACCAATAATCTTGCTTGAAATTTGGAGGAGTCTTGAAGTAAGTCTTTAAAAACCAAACTCTACCCAAGACTCACTTGGCATATATTTGTTGACCAACAAAGAGGCAATTAAGTTGACAAAGTTTGCATGGCCCAATAATACCATGCCACGTCGTCATCATCACCAATGTTGTTTTATGAGCAATACCAACGACAACCTGCTCCAACTATCTGCCTCATGTTTTACTAGAAATTTTCCTTTAAAAAAATTTTACCTATATAATAATTTGGGATTAATATTCTCCCATAATTTTCTTTCTAAAAAAAAAAAAAAAACTTAACAAAAAAAAAAATTAATTAATGGATCATTAGTTGATTTGAATTCTTTATTGCATTTGTTGCAAAATAATCCTCAATTACATTCCCGAAGTATTTTTTTCAGATTATAATATATACAAATAAACATTATATCATTAGTATTAAAAATAATTTTATAAAATAAATAGATTTATAAAATTAATGTATAGACTTAAATTCTAATGCTATATTAACATAAGTAATTCTAGTCTTCGAAAAGAACTAATGTCACTATGTCAAAAAACCCTAGTTAGCAAACCCTAGTTATCACTATAAATATCCACATTGTTCCCAATCACTGTCACAGTGTCACCGCACAAAAATACAATTACAAACACTTAACAACCACTATGAAATCCTCTGAAAAGGCCCAACCATCTCTGTCCCTCAATTCCGAGACTGGAGGCTCATCTTCGTCCCCAGTAGCCAAACGCAAGGGAAAGATAACTACTTATGAGAGTGAGATTAAGAGGAGAAGGATTGGTTCTCTTTTGAGAGCAACCTTGAGGAAAAATGCTTTCGACGCACTTCATGCAAACATCCCTGCGTTCCGACAAGAGAACCTTCCCTGGTGTGTCCAGAACAAGCTAAGCCGTCAGATGTTTAGTGGACGTGGGGTGGCTAACATTAAACGCAGGGGTAGGTGTCAGGTGATCGTGGAAGTTGATGATAATATTCCACGTGTAGCTGACTTGATGCCACCTGCTGAAGAGGCCGTTGGAGTGATGCATTTGGACGGCGGTAACAACCAGAAACCCTGGGGAATAAGCCTACATTACCTCGTTGTTGCAAGCAACAACAAGAGTGATCTTGGTGTTATGTACGCACTTAAGGGAAACCAGACCTTTGAAGATATCTACAAGGATTATGCGGATAAAGTGGACTGCAAGGTGAAGGACATGTTCTTGACTAATGAAAGAACTGGGGTGGTTATCTCTCCACACGACATTGCTAAGTATGTGGGAATTAGGCAAGGTGACATGCTGGTAGCAAATCACAAGGTTTGTTTAATTTGTATGCTAAAAAGCTTAATAGTTTATTTAATTTGTATAAATCATTTTTTAATATTCCCCTCGCTCAATTAATAGTTATTGTTGTGAACGTGTGCAGAATCCTAAGTTTAACATGAATAGCTTGATCAAGAAGTTCTACATCACCGATGTTAGTGACAAGCCAAAGAAAGTGAAGGTGGATGGCCGACTCGACACAAAGCTTTGCAACCTATACCATCACTGGGGTACCGTGTTCAATTTTGATCCTAAGAAGGTCATGCTCATGAATCAGTGTCGAGTGTTAACCCCAAACCAGACAATTGAGTCGGCAAAGATTCGGAACAATGGTGTGGTCTATGCACTTCCAAATGTGCGCTACAACAAGACATCCCGCATCCCCAAGTCTAAGTGAGCGGCCAGCGCAGTAGCTTTTGTCCATGGAGTTTTGCTTACAATAAGTCTACATTAGGTGGACTTTAGGAAGTCAGTGTATGAGTTCACATTTGTTGTGGATTACATGCTTTTGTGTTAGAGTGTTTGTGTGTAGTAAACTATTAATTGCTTCCATCGAACGTTAGGTTTAGGTGATAAGCTGGTGTATGTCTGGTGTATGTTTGTTAAATCTAGTACTCCATGGACAAGGTGGCTCCATTTGTGGTGTGTTTGTAGTATTTCCACTCCACATCAGTCTAAGTTTATAGTACTTCGTAGGTATAATCATTAGGGGCGTTGTACTATTAAAATGTTCTATGATGTGAAATATTAGTAAATTTGTATTTAACTATTGTGTAAGGCTTAAAATTATCGCATTTTATTTCGAATTATTGCGCATATGCTCAAATTCACAAAAAGTTTAAAACAATTGCTTAAAAAGGAAACTAAAGCATAAATAGATGAAGTCTCTTAGAGTTGATATGTAACAAAAAATGAGTTAACCAAAATTGGTCCTACATTTTTGGTCCACAAGATAGCATAAAAGGATCAAGTCTCCTAATTAATTGGTCCTACGATTTAGGTCCAGAAAATAGGGTCTCATTAAAGTAATGGGTTTATATATTGTGGACAGCCCAACCCAAAATTGAGTAAACTAGAATGGACAGCCCAACCCAAAAATTGAGTTAACCAAAATGGACAGACCAACTCAAAAGCCCGCTCTAAAATTTCCAAGGAAGAAATTAGAAGGGTAAAAAAGGTAGTTAGTTTTGTTTGTTTGTTTTTTTTTTTTTTTTTTTGGTTATGAATCAAGGTTATAAAGGTAATTGCTGATGAAAACAAAAAGATGAAATCAAGATTATTACATCGAACATAATAACAGAAATTAAAGCATGTAATTGCTCCAGTTGAATGCAACACATTTCCAAAAGGTTGTTCGAACAATGCGAAAACAGTTCAAAAGGTTGTAGCCTAATCTAAGCAACTACGATGCGTAACATAAAATAAGCAATTACCAATATGACATAGTCCCTAAACCACCAACAACAAGTAATACAAACGCTACATAGTTCGACTTGAGTACATAACAAAGAACTTTGGGCCACAGCTAATTAGAACTCAAAAGACGAGGTTGGGGTGGCAACACCTTCACCAGCAGCCCCGCGTTTTGTAGTGGCCTTTCTCTTCCGTCCCTATTGATCAACAAGGGATGAGATTCAGATTTCCAAAGATGATGAATGAATACAACAAACACTTATGGTTATATGTTATCTACCTTTCGTTTGGGGATGGGTTTCTTAGCTGGAGGTACTCTTTCATCAGAAGAGGTAGGGGTGGTGGCTGCAACTTCACCAGCATTACCGCCTTTTTTTGCGGCCTTCTTCTTCCTACCCTGTTGATCAACAAGGGGATCCAGATGATGAAAACAACACACTTCAATTTTATATGGTATATGTCTTTCGTTTTGGGATGGGTTGGTTATATGTTATATACCTTTCGTTTGGGGATGGGTTGTTTCTCAGCTGGAGTGGGTGCAACAATTTCATCACCTCCCGGTTCAGTTTCATCAACTGCGACAGGAATCTACAATCACAGTTCAAGCAACAAATACAAAAAGTTAGATTATACTGTCATAGTTGAAATGAATGCCCAAATCAGGTGATTTTACCTCCTTGTTTTTCTTCTTATACCCCAACTCTGCCAATGATTTATTTCGCGATCCCTTAGGCCTTCCTCGAGGACGTTTCCTTGATTTTGGGTCTAGCACCTGTTGGCTAACTGCTGGTGGTGTGTCAACTGGGGTCTCAGTGACTTCTGGCTGTAACTCGACCCACTCTACATCCTCCTGAATGCTACCGTCCACCAATCCTTCATACAGAAGACAGAGTGATTACTCTACCTGTGGAACCTTTTTCAGAGGGAGGATACTATCTGCTAGGGAGTAGTTGAACCCCATTCTGCGCAATGAACTTCTTCCTCCTTTCCTTTACTTCAATCCTTAGCTTTAACAAGGAAGCAAGCACCATCTGTACTGTATCCTCATCAACAGCAGACGCTTCGTCGCATATTGGCTCAAACTCGGACATGATTTTGTTGAATCTCTTCACCTCGGCTGTATCCGACGGATCGTGGTATGCAACCTTAACACGAGTATGCTTCCTAACAACATCCTTACGCCATCTGTCCAAGATGTACTTGTATGGTATCTTGAACACAAGATTTTGATCTAGTACACGAATGCAGTGCTTGCAAAAAATACCGAATGTTTCAAATTTACAATAATCGCAGCTGACTTCATTCGTTACTCTGTTAAATCTGACACAGTAAATTCGCCTTCTGTCCGTTATAACCTCTTCGCTCCTCCCTTCCGGGACAATCCACACTCTATCCTCAAGATAGTAATGGACATTGTGTTCATCAATCACTCTTTCCTCTCGCCCATAACAATACATCATCCTTGACAGTTCTTTCTTAATCTCCTGAAATTTTGCATCAGCATACAACTTCTGGTACACTTTCTCAACCTTAAACCCACTGACTAATCGCCACACATATTTCGTCGATTTGGCATCAGCTTCAGTTTCATCTGTCACCTTACTAGTCATAGCCTTACTGTACTTTTTCGGGAACTCATACAACTTAGTCTTCCGGTTCACAAAACCGTCAAAAAAGCTATTGATGCTTTCTACACGTTGGGTAGTCTTCATTCCAGCCCAGAAGTACTCCTTCATATATGCCGGGATCCACATGTGACGCTCTTCAAACAGGTCACATAGCCATTCGTTTTCTTCCAGGCCATACTTCTTCATAAACTCAAGCCACCGACTCTCAAATTCGTCAACCGTGAAGCTTTCATAAATGAGAGATTTAAGAGGATTTTTGAATTCAGCATACCTGACAAATATTTATGGATGATTGAATATACATATCAGACTAAAAAGAATCTAAGGCTGATTGAATATGGAAGATTGAATATACAACAACAAGAATAAGCAAATCTGGACAGCAGCAAGTAAAGACAAAATTAATTACTTGGTGATCAGATGATCAGATCCTACTTGCTATATAATGAGAAGAGAGGATGCTCATATTTGAGAGAGGGGGGGGGGGAAATAAATTGATATGCAACATACTTGTAGTAGCAATATAAGTGAATTCACAATTACAAAAATCTATGGCAGATTGAATATACAATAACAAGCAACAACACTGCCTAAATTATGCCAAAATTGTGAGGGCACACTACCAGCAAGATGCTCAGATCTTTATCATGAGAAGTGAGGATTCTCCATATTTAAGGGAAGGGGGGGGGAATCAATAGTTATGCAACATACTTGTAGTATGCACATTTACAAAAGTTAAGGATACACTTACAACTCGCATTTCCCAAGCTTCTCAGGAAACTTTCGCATAATGTGTCATATGCACCATCTATGGCGTGCTGTTGGCATAATTTCTGCAAGCGGCCTTCTCATTGCTTCTGCTTGATCGGTAAGAATTCCCAAGGGTGCCCGGTTCCCCATACATGCTAGCCATTGCGTAAACACCCAAGAATAGGTTTCACAATCTTCGCGTGATACCAAGGCACATCCAAAGAGAATTGATTGACCATGATGATTCACGCCAACAAAATTTGCAAAAGGGAGGTCGTAGTTGTTGGTCAAGTACGTGGCATCAAAACATACCACGTCTCCAAAATCTTTGTAGGCCGCACGACTCCTAGCATCCACCCATAGCACATCCTTTAGTCGCCCTTCTTCATCCAACCGATGTGCATGATAAAAGTTTTGGTTGTCGGCTTGCATCTTCTCAAAATACTTCATCATCGCTACGGCATCGCCTCCTTCCATTTTCAACTTCTTAGCTTTGTATACCTCGTGTTCTAGGTCCTTCACATTAGGGAGTTTGTCTTTTTCATGGGACAAGCATCCATGTATTTTCTTAACAGGAACACCCTCTTCGTAGAAGTTCATCAGCTTCTTGCGTACAGATGAAGTGTAATGCTTCATCCTGTACTCTTTCACTAGATTTGCCTTTGTCGGGGTTGGTTTGTGGCCATGATGTTCTAGTTCGGCTGACCGTATAACCCACTCACCCGCATCGTTAACACTTGCATAAATGTTTGCAGGACAAAAGCATTTTTTAGACTTTCTCTTTCCTTGTTTCAGCTCATCCACCCCTATTACACCATTTACCTTGCCACCAGTTCCACCGACTTCCATTGCTTTGGCCCTCTTCTTGGCCTCCCTTAGGGCCCTCATGTTCGGGGGACCCCAACATTCACACCTCCACCTAGTACCCCTACGCTCCTTAGTTGCCTTAGAAAAAGAACCCTGCACTCTAGTTACACCAAATCCATTACTAAAAGCATACATTTTGAAGTACTCCTCTATGTCCTCCCAGCTCTTGAATACCATACCCTCCTTTGGAGGTTCAACAAGGGGCACATTAGTTGATACAACAGTCTCAACAGTCTGGACAGTGCGAACTGTCTGTATAGGAGATGTGTAGACAACCTGCTGTGATCCAATGAGAGGAGAGCTGGGGTTCAACAGTTCCATATTTTCCATTCTTATCCCATTCCCCACACAACCAGATTCAAAACACATGTTTGAGCTCGGATTAAACTCCATATTTTCCATGCTTCCCTCACAGCCAGAATCTTGAACAAATTCTAGGTTGGGGTCAACTACGTCCTCAACCAAATTAATATATTTACCAACACCAGGAGGATCAAGATCAACATCACCCACATCCATGGTATAAGAGATCACTGCAACCATAATTGACACACAAAAACCCATATTTTCACAATTTTTAGATTTTCCATATCACTAGAGTTTCCATATTTTCACAAAAACCCATATTCAAACATATTTTCACAATCAACTGATCAATTGCCAAAACAAAATTACCCGACTCAGAAGCATAAAAATAGATTAGCAACAACCAAAAACAATTACACACACTCAATTGCCATTCAAAAATTAATTTGCGAGTTCAATTGCACAACTTATGAAATAAACAAGCAAGTTTTCAACTCAATTTTTCTAAAAGCCTAAGCTACTAAAGCAATTCAAAAATTAGGTATTCTGAAATCATACCTTAACAAAATTACCCGAATAAAAATTAATTTGCGAGTAGGAGAACTGAAATTATTGATGCATGACTTCAATTTGCGAGTTCAATTGCACAACTTATGAAATAAACAAGCAAGTTTTGAATTCTATTTTTCTAAAAGTATGGACTACTGAAGAAATACAGAAAGCAGTTATTCTGAAATCATACCTTAACAATGCGGTAGTGATCCACCAGTATGGCTGAAAATCGGTCGAATGTTATAGTGCTCCACCAGCGACGGAAAATCGGAGAAAAGAACTGGAAAATCGGTTGAGCAGGAGAAGAGGGAAAAGGGAGAAGTAAATATGAAAGAGAAAAGGGAGTTTACTCTAGGTGGTTAACCTTGGTTAACTATCAACGGCAGTGCAGAAGGTCGTTAGATGTTCCGTCAAATACAACTTGCATGTGATATGTCAGGAAAACGTGTGACACCTCACCTCCTTCAATTGTTTATTATTATTTCGTACAAAATAATTACAAGAATGCCACTTGATAAACAAAAATCGTTTATCAAGGGGATCAACTTGTATTTCCTCTAATTTTATAGCAATACATTATTATTATTGGAGGCCACTAATTTAGCAATTGAAGAGCAACTAGGTAGCTAGTACCAATAACAAAACTACTAGTAGTATAATGGTGGAGCAATACTTAAGTTTTAGTGGGTTTGGTAAGCTCCCATGCTCCACTGTCCTGCATGCTTGTAATCGTGCACTTCCAATCTATTATTATACTCAACCATATCTAAATACCACCTTCCACCACAATATAATCTATCTACAACTTATGTTCTTCTATAGCATAATTGTAATCTTGAAGACTTCCTCTATATATACAATAATAATCATATCATCACACTGCACATGATGATTTAAAATGTTGTTTGTCTTAAAATGGTATACACGTATATTTTCAAATTTGAAAAGGCGAAGGTGAGAATAAATACCTTCTTTCTGTGAGAATTATATGGTTTGTGAGAAAATATCTAGCTTGACTACTAACAAACCTATAGATGAATAATACTGTTAAAGTAAATATATGTCAAAAAATAAATAAATAAATAAATAAAATAAAATCCAAATTTCAAATTTAGTCCTTTGGCTATATATCTACTAGATAGAGATTAAGAAATGAGTTAAAAGATGGTCAAATTGTAGTTAATTGTCATGACTTGCAAATCATATGTACTTCTATCCTATAAGGAGAATCATAAGATATCAATAAAGTGAAATGTAACATTGAGGATGGAATTGAATCCATATATCACTTAAGCCAATAACTAGCTAATCGGCCTGCTATAAATTATACATATATGTATGTAATATCAACACGAGTAACAGTAACTCCAATTAATTACCAAAAATACAAAAAAAAAAAAAATATAATGGCCCTCACATTATTATAATACAGTTGCAGAAGTGCAAACTATTAGGTAAGATATTTATAAGGTCTATCATGGATTATATTATATCGTATGCAATGTGGTAAATGGTATAGTAGATAAGATTAAGAAAATAAGTTAGAGTATCAATTTATATTAGCAACATCAAATAGCATTGGCGCTTACCAAACCCACTGGCCGGAGCATTTTGCTTTCTAGACTATATCCTAGCACATTCGAAGTAGTGGCCCTTAATTTTACAATACTATAATTTCCTTTTCCCAAAATTTTTCATCTCTTAACTAATTTATGTAACATCTTTTAATACGCAACACAAATTACACAAATTAAAAGACAACGTAGTTAATCCGAATACAAATTCAAATATTAGAGCATTGTTATAAATATATCGAAAGTATAGGTCATTAGAGTGAAATTTCTCTAAACTCGAAAACTCGAAAATATCCATACATTCTAATAATTTTTACAATTTCTCACAATGATGATTTCCTTTTGAGTGGGTACTAAAGAGAATTGATAAAGGGTCTACATATCCCCGTCCCTCAAGGTTGTAATTTGTGCGTGTGGACCATGTAAAACATTAAATAATTTTGCCAAATACCAATCACCTTTCATATAAATCGTTAATTTTATCAATCAATCACAATCAATACATAAGGCTTGTTGTAATATTGGATTTCAGTGAAATAAAAGTCTTCCAATCAACTGTAGTCAAAAATAGAGACTTGACTTTGGTACCCTACATGATAAATTGCTCCATTATTAGTGTGAAATTGTTTATTGTCGAGTAGACTTCACCATTGAAGTCATTCTACTATAGTACTATGAGCATGAAAATTGAAAAGTAATTGCATGCACTAATATCTAAGTGGGTACGATTGACTTATAATACGTTCAAATTTAGGTTAAATAAGATAGTTTCGTCCTTTTAGTGAATAAATATTTGATACAATTTCTTGAATCCTATATATTACTCCATTTTATTTTATTTTATTGTGAACCAGGTTTATACTTGTCAGTATATTTTGCATATAGTGGTTCTAATTTTAATAATGTGGACTTTATTAAAACTTGAGTAAACTTCACAATAGTAATATTGAACCCTGAGGTCCACGCGTGCCAAGTGATGACGTTATTTTGAGCATAGTTACCCTAATTGAATATAATGTCCTTTATTGTCCATATTGACCATTATATTAAAACTCTCAGGTAATCATATATTAATCTCTTGTGACCTTAGCTTTATTATAACTCAACTTTTATTATAATAACTTATTTTTAACTTAGTGATCTTATTGCTAATATGACCACCTATATTTTTAGATAACTGTACAACATTTGAATATAGTGACCTTAATATTAAAGGCTCACAATAAATCAATGAGAATTATGGGCTATCTAAGAGTTTGAGTTTTATTTATTTATTATTTATTTATTTTAACGAGAGTTTGAGTTAATGTTATGTTCATATCCAAATCAAATAAAAAGAGGGAGATATTGAATATATAAGACTATTGAAAAAGTATAAATTAACAATTTAGGTAATGAATCATGTCTATTTACAAAAATAAAAATTGTAATAAATCATGTCTAAGGTAATTGTATACGTAATACTCCATAATACAGAAAAGAATCATATTATGATACATGCAATTAATTCTGATTATTGCTGTTATGATTAGCATATATGCTCTTTATAATTGTTGCCTTCTTAAGCATAATCCTTGCACGTTATATGGATTCCAACAAATGTAACATATGTTTCTCTTATATAAATGAAGAACAATTTAATGATTGAAAAAAATAAAATTAGGAAGGAAGGAGTATTACATACATAATTGAACTCGAAATGAATTACTTCATTTCATATATTTGATCCATTGAGCAAGCGAGTTGACGAAAAGCAAGATACATTTCGGACAATGTGTTCATTGAATATAAACTTAAGATTCAACAAATCATCCATGGTTAATATAACTTTGTACGTATTGTTAATTTTATGTGCCACCACCAATCTAGCCTATATTAGTATATCACCATGGCCTATTTGGCTTCCATAAAGATGCATAAATTAATTTCGAAACTTCTCTCTATGATCAATAAATTAGTTTTAATAATCGTTAAATTGAATCCACACTCCATTATATATCTGTGTACTCATTTCAGTGATACATATAGGATTACAAAAAAAGAGAGTTATAAAATTTATTCTAACAATACAATATTCAAGTGTTACATTATAAAATATGGAAGGAATATATAAAAAATTATTCAAAATTACCGAATAAAATTGTACATAGTATAATTTTTTTTTTATTAAGGGGATTTTTATTTATTTTTTTTAAAATATTATGAGATTAAAAGATCATAAGATGTACAAAATGTTAGATTATTTATTAAAAAAAAAAAGAGCTAATAAAGTGGATCCATCGACAAGAAGAATGATCCTTTTCATTAAATTTTCTCATTAATCAAACAGTGATGCTACTCTATATTATTTATTTATTTATTTATTTATTTATTTTCTCTTTAGCTATTGTTCAATCAAAATTGGAATCTTTCACCAAATATCTTATTAAAGAAAAAACAATAATTGGAATCTTCTATTCCATAGAATATCACATCAATGTGCATTTCGTTATAAAAGTACGTGTCTATATACTAACCCCTATAAATACTCCACTTTGTCATTCCAAAGTTCCGGCATAATTAGCTTGATATCACACTATTTTCAAAAGTTCTCATTATTATGGCTTTCAACTTCCAATACTTCTCTCCTATCTTAATCTTTCTCTTGGCTTTACTCATTCAATTTACCGAGAGTCGTCTAACACAAGAAACATTCAAATCAACTTTTGGAACTTCATCAATATCTAACGCTGATGAAGGGACAAATTGGGCTGTACTCGTGGCCGGTTCGAGGGGGTATGGTAATTATCGACATCAGGTTTGTACACTTTTATCGTATTTAGTAACTTTTTTTTTTTAAATAGTATCCCTTTGATTCGATGGATAATTAATTAGTCGCGTCACATAAAGCTGACTGTATACATGATCTGAAAGACAATCATGTATATATTCTCGATTTTGTAAGAGGATTTTAGAATTGAATATCGGAGATATTCATTTTATTTTACAGGCTGATATATGTCATGCATACCAAATCTTAAAGAAGAATGGTCTCAAGGATGAAAATATCGTCGTTTTCATGTACGACGACATAGCTCATAATGAAGATAACCCAAGAAAGGGAATTATAATTAACAACCCAAAAGGAGGAGATGTTTACAAAGGAGTTCCTAAGGTTTGATTCATTTCACTTCTAATTTACGTCAACTTATTTTGGTAGGTTATCAAGTAAATATTCTTGTTGATTACTTTGAGTTGTTCACACGGTATAATATTATCATCCTTGATCATGTAGGATTACACAGGCAAATATTTGACAACTAGCAATCTTTTGGCTGCGATACTTGGAAATAAAACAGCTATTAAAGGGGGCAGTGGCAAAGTCATCAATAGCGGTCCAAATGATCGTATATTTATTTATTATTCCGACCATGGAAGCCCCGGCGTACTTAGTAAGTAACTTTTGTACGAGTTTTATATTACATAACACGGAATATATATTATGTTGTACATACTGACCTTTATTATTTTTTATCATTGGTATCTTACTCGTGTGGCTTTATATTAGCTATGCCAAATGATGACGATCTATATGCGAAAGATTTTATCAACACCTTAAAGAAAAAGCACCAAATGGGAACATACAAAAGCATGGTAATTAATTAATTAATCTATAAACACACATATTATTTATACTATATAGTTTGGTTGGAATTTTAATTATAAGACTGTTTAAAATTAAATATGTAGGTGATATACGTAGAAGCTTGTGAAGCAGGGAGTATATTTGAGGGTCTTCTGCCGAAAGAGTGGAACATATACGTGACTACGGCATCTAACCCTGAAGAAAGTAGCTGGGCTACTTATTGCCCTGGCTTTGATCCTAGCCCTCCCGAAGAATATGATACATGTTTAGGTGACTTGTATAGTGTTGCTTGGATGGAAGACAGGTACGTAATTAATTTATACTCTCTCCGTTTTTTAATACTTGCTCTATTTCTCTTGGATAAGCATGTCAATGCTAATCTTTGATCATTAATATCTTTAATTATCAATAAGTATAAATTCTAACAATTGAAAATTAATAATCTATTCATTGAGATGATTCCAACAAGTACCCACAAGACAATATTTTTTCTTATGTATAAATCACAAACATTTGTCAAAGTAAGACAGATGAATAGTGTAAAACATAGAAATGGAGCAGGTATTTAAAAACGAAGGGAGTATATTGCACTCCGTAGTCACTATCTTTTCTTTACGAACACATTTATGAATTACGACTCAATCTAACTAGATAGGAGCTTTGAAATGAATCACAATCACTGGCATATATGTACCATGGTCAACACGGAAAAAATATGAAATTGGGTAGACTTTATATAGTACGGTGTATTCCTTAAAATATTTAAAAGTATCTAAACGGAAAGTGTAAAGTAGTACTACTAATGTTGTCATTTCAAAGGTACGACTTATGACCAATGAGTCAATGGCTAATTATGTTTTAGTCTAATTTGTTGATTTTTTTTTTTTTTTTTATTTTTTTTTTTTTGTGTTTCAATTATTGTCAACAGTGACATGCACAATACCCAGTCAGAGACAGTGGAACAACAATATCAAGTGGTAAGAACTGTACTCCGTAGATTATATAGTAATTGGGTGGCTAATTAGTAATTATTACCTTAATCATTTTATTTAATTACTTTGGTATTATTTTGTAAAGATAAAAGATTAGCTCAATATATCTAATACAAAAAGGTCATAACGCGTACAGCAGTGTAACGATAAGATGCATAAATGCATTATAATCTACTTTTAAAAAATATCGATCATAATCATTGTTTTAACTTTCAATTGTCGTTATAAAATGGCCTAATCAATCATGTCAGTGATGTCACTTAAATTCCTTTTCATATTAATTTTTGTGATTAATATGTTCTGTCAAAGAAAAAAAAAAACACAACATAGACGTCTTTGACGACTTGGTCCACCTAATACCTAGTATTATGCAAAATAGCTCTATACATTAAAACACTATATAATGAACGTGGAATTTTATTATTCCCTCTGTTTTTTTATAAGCAAGAGTCAAATTTGCATATTTATCGAGATATAACTTTGACCATCAATATTTTTAATGAGAGATTAGTAAAAATTATGAAAAAATTAATTTATAAAAGTAGACATAATTACAAATCCAACAACATATTATATGATCATATTTATATATAATATATTGTTAAAAAAATTAAGTCAATAATAACATTTAAATTGTGAAAAATATCAACTCTAGCTTATAAAAAAAATGGATGGAGCATAAATTTCTATGCATGCTAATATACTTTTATTTACAAATAGAAGTACACTTGATAAATTGCCGGATATTTCAAAATATTATATATATGCATGTACAATTTTAATAACATCTCATGAAATTTCATGTACTATTCCAATTTGGTGTTTTATAGTGAGCATGAGTTTGCAAAAACCTAATCTTATAACTTTGGTAAAAATTAAAGAATTCATCATAATGTAAACATATAGGTAAAGAAAAGAACAGCAGATGCTGGAGAACATGGATCTCATGTAATGGAATATGGTAATATCAACTTCAGTAAAGATCATCTCTCGCTCTACATTGGATCTTCAACCACCACCGATTCCGGCCATAAACATCACAACAAAGGGGGCAAAGGCAACCACAATAATCAAGCATCTTCGACTCCTGTTGAACAACATGAGGCCGACATTCTCTATTTAAAGCGAAAGGTTTGTTTAATTACTACTCTCTTCGTCTCATTATTGATTAGAATTTATCATCTACCTCATTTGACTCTTTTTTGCATTTGGTGTTTTAATTATTTTGTATGGAATCATCGAGTATTCCCGTTGTTCCTTGCCTTACTAACTAAGGAACGTTTTAAAGAAGGGAAAAAAGTGCAAAGTAAAATAGGAGATTGAGTTTAGAAAATATTCTATAATTTACACAACAAAAGGTGTTTTTTTTTTACGACGTGTAGTTTGGAACATTCTAATGGTGCTTTCTCCTCAACATTAAACAAGTGCTGATAAGTCTCAATAAATTTTAATCAAGTCCAATCAAATCCAATAAATTCACTCATTTTCAATTAGCCACGTATATAATAAGGTCTAATAAGTTTTACTCTTTTGCAATTAGGTATAAACATGGTCAATAAGCTCTAATCAATTCCAAGAAGTTTTAATTAAATTTAATTTAATTAAGTTTAATTTAGTTCAGATTGGTTTAGAAGATTGTAGGTGCAAGCTATAGAACAAATAAAGTGGGACAAAATGAATAATATTAGTTATCATAATACATGGGAATTTTATATATTCCTAGAGTTTTACTTCATTAAACTACACAATAAAGTGTATCCAACATAAACATTAAACTAACTATTTCAATGTGAATAAAAATAGCATTAAACTATATATATATATATATATATATATATATATATATATATATATATATATATATATATATATATATATATATACGAGTATGAGTTATTGTATTTATATTTTGATCTTTTGAAAAATAATAATCATATGAAAAAAAAAAAAGGTTTCAAGAGCACCAGAAGGATCTATTAAGAGAAAAGAGGCCCAAAAGGAATTGGATGATGCACTTTCACATAGAGAGCATGTAGACTGCACCTTTGAAGAGATTGGAAAAACTCTTTTTGGTGAAGAACAAGGCAATGCGATGATTAAGACCGTCCGATCAACGGGGCAATCGATTGTGGACGATTGGGATTGTTTCAAAACATTGGTACGTATCTATAACACCTTTCTCAATCTTTATGTTTTATATACTTAATTTCGTTCATATTCCATTATCAATTTGTCAAAATACTTATTTAAATCACATAGTTAATACCCACTTATGTCTAATCAAGATATTTATGACCGTACTTATTGTAGTTATCAATATATTATGTTTACATTCATGACTAGACTACGTAAATGTAATTTTTTTTTTTGTTCGTTAATAAATCGTTAATAAATTAAAATACGTAGTATAGAATATAAAGCCTTTCCACGAGCAATTGACATTAGAAGTACAAAAAGTTCATGGTTAATTTGACCTTTTGCTCTATTAAAAAAAAAAAAAAAAAGTTTGACCTTTTGCATGAAATAATTCTAGAGAAATAGAAGCTGCAAGAAATCTAGGTCTTTGTTTGAGAACGTTGTTTTTTTTTTTTTTTTTTTTTTTTTGATATTTCAAAGGTTTGAAAATGGAGAATATATATGTGAATTAGTCTGTTGGATGGTGTAAAAAAAATCTATATACTCCATTTATGAAATATAATACAAATCTAATATTATATGGTTACTCTTTTGTCATCAATGCATAGTATCTAATTATCTATACATTAAGAAGATTTTATATATTCAATTTAATTTCTACGTTTTTACCTTCTCATTATTAATTCTACAATTAATTATTTTGATACAATATACTAGCTAGGTACATATATAACATTTTTTTTTCCTTATCTTTTTAGATGTTAACAAAATATTCATAACATTATGTTAATTGTGTGTAGGTTGAGACTTATAAGACACATTGTGGAGCTCTATCAACCTACGGAAAGAAGCATATGCGGGCATTTGCAAATATGTGCAACTCTGGAGTGCAACAAGCTCAATTGGCTAAAGTAGCATCCCAAGTGTGTGGGAAACAAGTTTAATTAATTAGCTATAATAATCCATAATTTAGCCTTAATTAGCTTCCCAACTCAAGATAAAGCTCATATATTATTTACAAATGTATGAAAGAAAAAAAAAACAGTCGCAACATATATGTAAATGTAGAATAAATGGATAACTTGCAATTCTAGATAATATGCGCACTAACAAGATAAGATGGGCATGCATTCCTAGAATGTGCTAGCTATAACAAAGAAGTGCTAAGTGTAGATTATTAAGATGTACGGTTTCACGTCATGAAAATCAATTACACAAGCCATTTACTTCGTATTATCAATATTCAATACACCATCCATTAACATGTACATATGAAATATACCACGTCGTTCAGAATTGATTCCCGAATCCGAATTATTAACCCCGGATAAAACACCAAAAAAATAAAATAACAACATACAAATGAAATATTGATATTAAATAAGCTACATTCCATTGATATGTTTATTATACACATTTTTTAAAAAAGATAAGTAACTTAAAAGTTGGTGCTGGTGGAAATAGTCCAAAATCCAAATATTGGGTTGATCTTTATAATTTATTGGCTCTACTTTACTCCCTCCGTTTTTAAATATTTGCTCCATTTCTCTTGGACACGCATGTCGATGCTAATCTTTGATCACTAATATCTTTAATTATCAATAAGTATAAATTCTAACAATTGAAAATTAATAATCTATTCATTGAGATGATTCCAACAAGTACCCACAAGACTATATTTTTTCTTATGTATAAATCACAAACATTAGGGAACATCTACTACTGCCCATGCTACTGGGAAGATGTTATTACCATCTTTCCCAACAGCTGTGAGCAGTATACCTGGATAAGCTCCCCTGAGATGAGCACCATCAACTCCTAGGATTGCTCTGCATCCTGCTATGAATCCCTGTTTGCAAGCTTGAAGGCAGACATACAGTCTTTGAAAAACAGGTTGACCAATATCAACTCCATCTACCGTCACAACAGTTGTACTCCCTGGATTTTACTTCAAGATAGCTGCTGCATAATCCCAAACCTTCTCATACTCCAAACTTGCATCACCAAAGATCATTTTGAATGCTCGCTCCCAAGCATACCAAACTAAATAATATCCTTTTTCAACTTTGCACTCTCTTCTTGCTCTTTTGATAAATGCATCTAGCTTCCAAGTAGGATCATCCCTCTAATCTTCTAGATACCTCTCTACTAAGTATTGAGAAGTTATCTTGGAGTTCTTTACCTGATGTCCACAAATGCGCTTCAACTTGAGACTTTTAATCTGTCATGTATCCTCCCTCTTTAACTTCCTACAATGAATCTTAAGCCTGCACTTCAATTCCTTTTGCAGCTTAATTTGCATTCCAATATCCTTGCTCTTTTCCAAGAGCAAGCACATATGTGTGCACAATAAGCACTGACACTTACTCTATTGTTGTGCAGGAAATAAAAGTCATACCCATGCTCAATTGCATGGTACTGCAAAGCCCTCATAAACTCCTTGTTGCTAGGGAACTTGAGCCCTTTTGTTAACATAACCTTACCTTTAAAATCAGTAGCAGGGTTAAATTCAGGATAAATAGTTTCCTCATCATCAGAATCAACAACACTCACTACTTCATCATCAGAATCTACAATGTCTTCCTCATTCCCAATATGCAGGCCATGATCATTTTCATCCTCGATCAACATCTACTTCTGGTGCAGCCTTGGACAACCCCCCTAAACTCCTAGTAACCCTCTCCTCTATGTCATGATCTATAAATTCACTGAACAAATCATCATCCTCCTTGTCTTCTATGTCATGCTCACTTAAATCTGCCTCATCCTCCTTGTCTCTCTCATCTTCCCCATCAGGATCTCCCTCATCATCCCTAAGAAATGGAATAATCTGCAACCAATTTTGTTCTTCATTGGTTTCTAAGCTAATTTCTTGCCTAATTTTTGGGTTGCCTTCTATGCTAGGTTGTGTTTGATACTGTGGGTTATTAGGGAGTTTGTGGACAGCTGAAGGTACTGTGTTTGTGGTGTTTGAAGTAGGAGGTGTTACTAAAGTCAATGGCGGTATGATTTTTTGTGGTTGATTTAATGGGAAGCTTTGTTCTTGTACAATGAGCAACAGTTTGAGTTGGGGGAACGATTTGAGAAGTAGAATCAGATCTAGGGTTTTCAGTTTGGTTAACGTGCACCATGTGTGTTTGTGGACACCCTTGACTTTATTTAATGAGTCACCAAGCAACCTCATTGCTTTCATCTCACTCTCTTTGCTCTCACTGTCTGTGTAAAAACTAAAGATTCCTTCTCACATCCACCACTTGCTCTTCACGCACAACATAAAGGTGATAAAATCCATCCTTTTCAGGTGCCTCAAGAAACTTAGTTATGTCCTTATCACCCTCAATTTTTGCCTTGCCAGTGTGTAATGAACAACCCTTCTTCCTAAACCAAATATCCCCCACCTCAGCAAATCCCAAGTCATTTTCAATGCAATACACAAACTCAAAATAGCACACCTCCTCAACATTCACATGCAATACAATCCCCCATTTTGATGGATCTACATTTGGCTTCTTTTCATAAGTTGTCTTGTTTTTCTTAGTCACAAAATGCCCACTGTAATACATCCTAATGCTAATCGAATCCATAAATTTAAACCAAGGTTCAAACACATTCACTCTACCATTAAAAACCTGACCATCAAATAAACCAATAAAAAATTGCACAAAGACAACATATCAAGGACGAGTTTCAAGCAATCAAGTCAACAAATTGAAAAATCATTCAATGTTTATGGGTTTAGTATAAACTATTCAACACAAATTCTCAAACAATTAGGTGAATCAAGTTAATTTTTCATGCAATTATTCTGCTAAACCCTAACAATTTTACTACATTTATGCATTTCCAGTGCTTGATGGAAGAACATACCTTGGTTTGTGCTTACAATGTAATTAGGGAATTTTGATTTGCGTCCAAACGTCCCTTTTCGTCCTCCTTTAGCCATGGAAAAGAAGAAGTTCGTAAGTTCAGAGTTTCTGAAAAAAGCCCCAATTTTTTTTGTTATTTCAAGTAACATTATGGTGAATTTAATCTTATCTAACCTTAATTAATTGCATGCACCAGGTGAGAGGGAGAGAGAAAGCCAAACTGACGTGATTGATTTGCAGAGTTGTAATGACAAACATAGAAGACAGAGAGAATAGAGTGGAGTTGGAGGGAAAATAAAAGGGAAAATAACAAGGTGGAGTGCAAATAAAAAAATTGTGGGTGCAAGTAGTGAGAAAGGGGAGGTCAACGCCGAAATTGTGTAGTCAATGCCTGAAAAGTGAGGTTTGGTTTCTTTAGACAAATTTTTTCTTCGTTGTGGTTTTTTTTAACAAAAAATCGTTTAAAAGGTTTTTTTTTGCAAAATGAAGCTTGTAAAAAGTTTTTTCTAACAAATTTGCCTTTTAAAAAATCGAAGGGGGTATTATTATATTCAAACAATCAAATCACTTCAACAATAAAAAAATTTCCCAACCGAGAACCACCCTTTTTAGCCGGCCTTGAGAGTTGAGACTATTTACAAGGCTATGACTCTATGAGCCCATTTTGAAGCCCCCAACTTCCATAGTTGAAGTTGATGCATCAAATCCTGTCACTAAGAAAATAAATAAGAGTACGGAGTACTAATTATAGCAATACAGGCATAGCAACCCTTCTCCACATCCCCAATAGCAACAACTAACGCCTACCACAACGCCCACTGCTCATCGGAGCAACCAAGGGTGGCTGGAGTTTGATGGCGTCTTCTCACCCACTGCTCTTCCTCCGTGTACGGCGACGGTAGTCGGAGCTAAGCGCACTCTCTCTCTCTCTCTCATCTTTACTCATCCTTGTTTAATTATATTCTAATTTATCAAATTTTATTATAGCTGCTCAGATCTAATTTTTAAATTAAGAGTTTTTACTCTTCCAAAAAATTGAATTCAAAAACAAAACCGTGTTTTCACATTGTTTTTTTTAAGGAAACTTAGGTCCCAATTATTTCCTTTTATAATTTGTTTCCTATTTCCTGTTCATGTGACAGGAATTTGTTTCCTAATCAAATTCATATTCCTGTATTATTATTATTATTATTTTGTATAATTATCAATTATAAATATTAATCTCGATCAGAGCTGCCTTGATTTTCATAGTGTTCATCAAATATGGACTTATTTGATAAATTGTCAGATGATTTGATTATTCACATATTATCGCTTCTTCCTACTAAATATGCTGTGTTAACCAGTATTTTGTCCAGAAGATGGAAATTTTTATGGTGTTTTGCTACCAACTCTTTAGTGTTTGATGATCGCCATTCATTCCGTGATTATTATCACGATCCTGAAAAGTTTTCGCGTTATGACCCTGATCATCATCGTGTTTTGTATTTTCATGACTTCATTGGCAAAGTTGTCAAACTTAGCAAGGTGTCCCCAGTTGAATCTTTTTTGCTTATGTTTTATATGTCCAGAGAAGTCGAATTCGGTTTCATCATGGATACATGAGATTGTCAACAAACACAAACCTAAAAAGATTGAAATCTACTTTGGTTTTGATCTTTGTATGTGGAAAAAAGAGGTTAGGTTGCCTCTTGAGACTTTCAACAGTAAAACATTGCAAGTTCTTAAATTACATTTTTTTTGTTCCAAACCATTGGCTGACTCCAAGTTTAATAACGCGAATAGCATGTATCTACCCAACCTCAAAATCTTGCATTTCTGGATGGAGGTTTTGAAAAATGAATGGTGGTTCTTTATCTACCTTTTCCGAGCATCTCCAAAGCTTGAAGTAGCATGTTTTGGAGGTAACTTAGAAAATAGTAAGGTTTTGTATAACATGTATGGGCCTTGTTTGAAAAGACTGCGAATGAAATTTAGATCCATAGATTCGTCAAACAAATTCTTCATCAATGCACCAATGTTGGAGGAGCTCGAGATTGTGGATGAATCGTTCCAGAAATATGTCGTTAAAAGTAAATGCATTGTCAATGCAAAACTTGACATTGGACTTCCCTTCCTCAGAAAACTGCAGCGACTACATGTTTATATTAGCCGGTTATGCAAGCTTTTGTGTAGAATCTCAAATGTTAAGTTCCTTAATTTGAAGGCTCATACCATGGATGTAAGTTTATCTGATAGTTATTATGTTATGTTTTTCAAGAGTATTTGCTTAAGGATTGATTATATCTATTATGATCGTTTGTCTTTCATTGCAGGCTCTTAGCATTAGTTGTGATCACAAGGATACCTTCACCCTGCCTCAATTTCTTTCTTTACGTCGTTTCCAATTATGCTTTCTCAACTACTCTTCATGGGATGTTCTCCCAAAACTGTTAGAATGTTCACCAAATCTTGAAGTTCTAGTATTAAGCAAGGTTCTTACTTGTTACTGTTTCATTTTTAAGCCTCTGCTTTCGAAACTTGTACTGTATCTTATCTCTGATTTTTTAATTATTCAGGACTTCAAAGGTAAGGATTCTGAATTCAGGAGTGATTTAACCTGGATTCAGCCAACCAATGTGCCTGCCTGTTTGCTATCATGCCTTCATCTAATTGAAGTGCGGGATTGTGAGTCTCATCAAGTTGAATTCGATCTCATTAGCTATTTGCTTAAGCATGGCGAGGTTCTGAGTACTTTCCTAGTTGAGCTCCTCCCAACTAATTCAAGGGAGGACCTAAGGTTCAGAGAAAAACTGATGGCGATTCCAAGGATTTCAACCACTTGCAAATTAAAAATCTCCTCATACCCTCATTTTTCTCCACATAATGGCTTTTCCCCAGGTTAAATTTCGTACTTTTCGTTCTGTTTGTCAAATTTCTTATAACATTTTTGTTCTAATGAAGAAGTTACTAATTTTTGCCATAATTACTGTACTCAATCAAAATTTATACTTTAAAGCAAATCAAGCAATGTTTGGTTTCATGTATGTTGTTACGAATACTTCAATGCGATTTTTTCCCTTAGACGAAACTTAGAGAGACGTTGGTTAATGCTTTAGCTGTTTGTGCTTCTTAGATTTTGGAGAATATAAATATCAAGAGCTGCAGCAAAGGATGAACCCTCAAAAGTTAAGCTTTGAAGATTTAAGACTTTGCACAAATTACTTCAGTGATGAAAATTTAATAGCAAGAACCAAGAAATTCAAAATCTACCATGGAAAAATTTATCAATCTGGTGCATATGATTCACCAGTTAAGGACGTTGTTGTGAAAAAATGGGTAATACCAGCAAAGAGTCCTTACAAAAAATACAAGGAGGAGACTCTTCGTAGTTTTAATGTATGTAGCTTTGGTGTAGCTTTTAATTTATTTTCTCCTTTTCTTAATATTTGCAACACTTACTTTTCACTTTTGCATTATTCATATACAATGTGTGACACCAATTTTTTGTAAAACAATACTACGAAAATAGAAAATGTTATCATATCAAATTGTTGCAAGTATTAAGGAATAGTTCTGAATCTGTTTCCCCTCATATTTGTGATCATCATTTGAATTTCTTGTCATACAGGAAGAACTAAAGTTACTACAGCATCCAAACTTCTATTGTCATCCTTACTTTATGAACATACTTGGTTATTGCGCAGAAGATAACAATGAAAGACTTGGTGTTGTGTATGATTGCAAAGCCCTTGATTACTTAGAGAACCTCATACCTAAAGGTAAGTGTAGGCATCAAGTAGAATTTATGTTGCTTTGTCTGAAATAGATGACATTGATTTCGTTCTTAGAGCGAGTTGGGTATCGATACTTCTTTTTTTATCCTTAAACAATACATTCTCTGTTTCATATTGATCTTCTCACTTAGAATCTTATTGTGAGACAAAGCTAGTCAAAGTAAGAAATTAATATGAGACGGAGGGAGTAGGAGTGTAGGACACATGCAATTATAAGTAGATTTGTAAGTAATTGACTTAAAATGCCACCACTGTCGGTCGTTTGTATCATTTTGCATATCTACAATATCAATCTAGTCTTTCTTTGGAATGTTTTGCTCTCAGTGTTCATAACTTTATAAGTGTAATAGATAAACTTTTTTGCGCCTGCTTTACAATTTTATGTACATTGAACATTTTAAGGGTAATTATTACCCAATTTGAGGTAACTTTCAAACTTTATTAAGGTAACTTTAAGCATGCTATGATTTTAATGTAAATAGAACATGGGATAAGATTAATAAGGGAAATATAGATGCATTTACATATATACTATGATTTACTTCTGTGAGAGAGCAACTCTATAATTGTTATTTGCGTTTGGGTAATGTTTAACCATTTTAGAGCAACCTTACAACTAATATATTTAAAAGTTTTAAGTGTGATAGTTTGAAATTTAACTAACTAATATTAAAAAGTCATTTGTCAATTTTAGATGGCCGAAATTATTAATGTCATTCAAATAAATACTCCCTGTGACATTATATTCTATACTTTGGCTGACACTTGCTCCTTGGATTGATAGATAGCTTCAAGTGGTTGCAAAGAATGAAGGTGGCGCTGGTTCTGGCATGCATTTTGGAACATATGCATAAGAAGCATGTAGATCTCCCTTCTGTTACTCCTAGATTTAGTCCTGCTTATGTTATTCTGGATCAGGTTTGCATTTTTTTTTCCTAAACCCATTCGTAATTTAGAATTGGTAATTTGTCTGTCCATGCTTGTTGAAATACATTTTCACCCTCTTTTAGGCAAGGTTGTTTGTTTGGTTGGACGTGCGCATGTGTGCAGTGTGTGTGTGTTTTTGTTTGAGAAAATCATAATGTTGTGCTTGTCTTTGATGATGGCTTATTGGCTTTGCATTGTTGTTAATAAGTTGAGTAGAAAAAGGGAGCTTGTGACTCAGGCACGAGAGAGGAGGAAAAAGAAAGAGGGGGGTTTGTCAAAGCCTGATTGTTGACCTTGAAGTCACTTTAAGTTGCCTATGTTTAAGAGTGTCTTAAAAAGTGCTATCTCATAATACATGAATTTTAGGAGCTGCTATCTCATAATACATGATATTTGTTAACAACAATGTCAAAGTCTTCATCTTAAAAGGATGTTTTATTTGTTATTTCCAGTGACTGGTATCTTTTCTTATGTGCGTTTGATAATATACTAATGTATCTCTATTTTGATTTTTATTTAAATTTGAAAAACTTCAGGATTATATGCCAGTATTGTACAACTTTAATCGAAGAGGATATGAATTTAGAGAAGAGGACAATTATGACTATCGTATTGGAAAAGAATACCTAGATTCAAGGAATGACTATGACAGTATGCATGCTGATTAATTGTTTTACTCCCCCATATTTTCATATTGTGAACAATATGGAGGGAGTAATTTTCTTTTTCATGTTTAGCGTTATTGACTAACAATTTGTTAACATACAGTTAAAAAATATGGACAAACTCTTTTGGGGCTAATATCGAAAAGAGCTCACCGATGCCCTATAGGTAAACACCACACATCTGAATGTGTTACGATAGACCGATGGATAGCAGCGCAGAAAGATGATATAGATATTACTTCCTCCTTGTGTAAATCGGAGGTATCATTAGTGCATAAAGATTTGATCGATGATCCAACCTATGATGTTGCTGATGGTTTGAAATAGACACGCCTTGCAATGCGCTGTCTTGGTTTTCCTCAACACCGGCCAAGCATGCATGCAATCGCAAGTTACAGTTTTTTAAAAATAATTGGGATGTAATAGACCATAACAAAGTTATAAGTTCTTACTTTTGATTTGAGTGTGTTATCTCAAGAAATTGAGCAAAAATTGCTTTTTTAGTGCAAATGAGTAGAGAAGATAGTTCATTTTGTGTAAAAGAGTAAATAGTTATATGATAACCAGTTGTACAACACAATTATACTACTGATCTTATGACAAAATTGAAGCTGGTGTAAAACTGCAAAAGTAAGCTATTGCTGGGTCATGGGTGTCAATCAAATTGATACGGAGCAATTGAGAACACGTTGTAATCAAGATTAATTTCTTCCAAAGTTATAGTATAACATATATTTTAATTTGCTAAGAAATTGATATTAGTTTCTTCTCTTTTAAAGTTATACTATATAGCTTTCAAATCTTATTAATCAACTATCCAGAGCTACTTCACTTGGCACAAACTTGAGCCGATACTTGTGCCATCCGATCTATGTAAATCCCTGCGTTACAAAAGTTTGCAAATGCTCGAGCGTACTTCTTTCCATAGGATTGTAAGGATCCACAATGCTCTTCATAAGTACTTACCTACATACCATAATTAACCATACAAATTAGAATCTAGCCATTATATTGATAAATCTTATTTACCGTGATTGTAATGAGAATAAAAAGGTTATAAAGTACGTACCATTGCTTTGAAGCAATCCCAATCATCAACAAGAGGTGTTCCTGCTGGCCTATTCTTTGTAAGATATGAAGGACCGCGCGATTCACCAAATAATTGGTTTGCAATTGCTTGCACAGTTTGATCCACATGTTTCCTGTGTGAAGTCACTTCATCTAAACGCTTTTGAGCCTCAATTTTTTGTTTAGAGCCTTCGGGAGCTCTTCGGACCTATTAAGAAATAGGTAATGTTGTGAGAATTACAATGTTATCCTAGAAAATTAATATTGTTTGATCCGATTAATTAGAGATTGATACCATTTCTTTGAAGTAAATAAGATCAGCTTCGCGTTGCTCAACCACGTACAATGGAGTAATTGGCTCGGATTGGTTGGTCATGGAGTAAGTTTGGTTTGGCTTCCTAGATTCCAAAGCAATGTAAAGAGAAAGATAATTTGAACTCAAGTGAACGTCACCATATTCAATTACATGAGACATTTCACTTGTCCTGTTCTTCACCTACATGATTACAAAATTGATTGTCTTGGATCTTGTTAATTTGCACCATATAAAAACTAAAATGCTCAATCCGGGAGGTAAAAGATCGAATGAAGCCTTAATCTTACCATGGCGAATTGTTGTCTCAAAGTCTCATTTCTTGGATCTTTTCTTTCACTGTTTAATATAGCAAAGAGAAACCAAAGTTTTAGTTTGCATAAAGATTGAACTATTGCACGTACCAACGTACGTATAATATACCACAAATCATGCATGAACAAGACAAACTCTAGTTAATTCTATCTTCATATGTATAATTAAACAAAAAAAAAATTATTTACCTATCTTCCATCCAAGAGATACTATACAAGTCACCCAAACATGTATTATTGTATTCGGATGGGATGCCAGGGTCTCCACCACAATAGGTTGCGTAACTACTCTCGTTGGGGTTTGACGCAGTTGTTGCAAATATGCTTAGGTTATTTGGCAAAACTCCATCAAAAATACTTCCAGATTCACAAGCTTCAATATAAATAACCTATAAAGGCAAAAATTAATTGAGTGCCTAATGTAACAATAACATACAATAATTAATGTGAATTATTGATATAACAATTAAATTTGGCAAGAAATAAATGTTAATTAGCATTAGCTAAATTGATCTTACCATGGATTTGTAGGTATTTGAAGCATGCTTCTTTTTCAAAACTTCTATGAAATCCTTGGCGTAAATTGCAGGCTCATTTTGAGGCATTCCTAGTGTTTCACATAAAGGGGAAAAAAATCACTTCATAAATTTGCATTCTATACAACATGTGATTTACATTATGCAAAAATATAATATGCTTATAATATATTAATAACCATATATTGAATAAATAATTAAAATAGTGGAGTTTATATTTATTATGCCCTATTTAGATAAACTTATCTAGACTTTTTTTTTTTTTTTTTTAAGATAATAAATATTTTTTGACAATTCAGACAAATAAAGTTTTTTTTTTTTTAACACAATTTCATATACATATGTAATACAAGTATATAATTTCTGACAAGATTTGGGTCCATTTAATTTTTGAGGAATTAATAATCCACTTAAAACCAAGATACCAAAAAAAATAAAATGAATTTAGTAATTTACCAAGCATCCCTGCAGAACCATGGTCAGAGTAGTAAATGAAAATGTGATCATTTGGACCGCTGTCCAAAACCTTTCCACTACCTCCTTTGATGGCTTTTTTATCACCAAGTATAGCCGCGAATAGATTTTTAGTAGTCAAATTTTTTCCTGTATAATCCTGTGTAAACCAATACTGTTTTTTGAGCGTGCCAATTGGAATTTTTCACATGCAACCGTTGTAATAATTAATATATGAAGACCCTATTGAAAAGGTTGGTTAACGCTTAAGAGTAGAGAAGAGAGGTACAGAAATCCCCTACTCCCAAACATTTTGAAGTTGGCGGGATCCGAACGTATGACCTCAAAGTCACATAGTGAGTTTCCCATCAATTAAGTTCACCAAGCTTTGCTTGGTGCCACTAGCTATATGGTACACACATAACACATATAGAGTATATTACAATATTTGTTGAGAATGATCTTAAACCGTATTAGCTTTTCATATCTAAACAATACATTCCTATGTTTCCCAAATAATGTCGCAAATCTATCTTTAATACCAAACTTTATAACATTCAGCAATTTTGACCACAGATTTTCAGTGATATTTGGAACTAAACATAATCGAAAAAATCTTGCTGAATTTAAATCAATATAACATCTTTAAACAATTATTTGTGTGTGATCGAATATAATCAATATATATACCTTGGAAAACATAAAAAACAAACTACACTTGTGGTAATTAAAATTGAGCATAATATATATATTTTAATTCAACTTTTATTAGGACCGTACCACACCACGATACTAGGGTGAATTATAAAATACCATCGTTTTAGATAAAATAGTGCACGTCTTGAAATAAAATTATTTAATTTGGTTACAGAGAAAACTCTCCATTCGCCCCTTATTACTGGTCATAGACAAGGGGAATTATAAAAATAATGAGGAATGTCATTTTAGTCACAAACTCAATACTAGTAAGTTTTGCTTTAAATAAAAGAGAATTAAACCTTAGGAACATTTGTATAAACATTTCTGCCAACTGGTCTGTTTATAATAACACCTTGGTGAGGATTATCTACGTTAAATGCAATGTCATCATACATGAAGACGATAATATTTTCATCTTTGAGACCGCCCTTCTTCATAAGTTGGTATGCGTGACAAACATCTGCCTGCAAATTATGTATATCACAATTTATTAATAAAAAGTGTACTGGTATATATGTTATAAAAAAATTTATGGAAAAACCGGTTTTATAATTTTCAACTTTGGCCGGTTTATTTTTGTTATTACAACTTTGAGAAATTTTCTAGTAATTCAAACTTTTAAGGGTATTCGCTTTTTTTATTATTATTTTTTTTTCCAATAGGTTAACGACATATTATAGCCAATTCCTCTACCACAAGATGTCAGCACCCGATTGGTAAATTTTTTATTTATTGTTCCCCTACCAAAGCCGCCAACTACCTCCCTTTCCAACGCCAACCACCCCCTCCTCTCCTTACCACCTTTGACAACCTTCTCTTCCATCACCAACCACCTCCACCTCCCTCCCAGCCCCTCCCCTCCGGCCCCCACCACTGAAAACACCTTCCCTTCTCTACCAGGCCACTAAAATTACCCTTCCCTCGATCTCCTCTCTCACCATTGAAATTAAATCTGATCCTATTTATGGTCGATCAAAGGGGTTGTATAATTAGTGGTCAAAAAGGAGAAAAAACAAAGTAAAAATAAATAAAAATATTCGTTCATCAAGCTAAGTAACCGGTCATATGGGATCAAAGAAAGCAAATACTCCAAAGGTCAAACTATATAAAAACATCACAAAGTTGGGATTAATAAGAGCGAAATAGTCATAATTGAAATTTACAAAACCAAATTTCCATTAATTATTGATAAGAAAAAAATAAATCTTACAAAAGGAGAAGAAATTTAATTATAACATCATGTAACAATATAAATCTCCTAATGCATGATAACATATGAAAAGAAAATTAATTAACAAATTATAGTTACAAAAAAAAAATCATTCATGGTCGGTGGTTTTACAGTACGTGTTAGATGATATGAGATTATAAATTAAGCTATAAACCTGTGCTCACTCAGTAATAAAAATAAATGTACCTGATGCCTATAATTTTCATAACCACTAGAGCCAGCTATTAAAATTGCCCATTTTTCCCCACCATTATAAAAAACGTCGGAATTATTTGATGAATCTAGAGACAAGTCATCAAACACTTTACTTATAAGACGACATTCAACACTTAAAGAGAAAAACAATGCAAGAATTATGATTTTCAATTGGATTATTATCAAATGACAAGAATTTTTCCTCATTGGAATTTTATGAATTTCTGAAAATTTAAACAAATATTTTGTTGTATAATACATATAATGAAGAGCAAAGAAGTTATTTTATAGGCAAAAAAGTTATTTACTTAAAAATTAACAATTAAAATTTTAAACAATTAAATTTATGATATTTTATGAATTATGTGGTCCTTGTAAGTATATAACTTGTTGCATTGTAACTCTAAACCAAATATATCAAGACTTCAACAGCAACAAACGTTAAGGTCCAAAATAAATATATTATGGACCGGTCCACCCAAGATTTTTTAGTCGAGATAAGGTGCGGCAAATTATAATATGCACCATGGTGCATCTAGTTCTATGTGAACCACCAATAAAAATATATTGGCCTTGTTTGGCGGTTGGCTGTTGGCTGGTTCACTTGGCTTGTTTGACCAGCTGGTATGTTTGGCTGTTTATAATGGCTTTTGAAATTGGCTGTTAAAGCTGACTGTTTATAAAAGTGTTTGGTAAATTAATTGTTGGTAGTTGGCTGTTTATTAGATAATTTGTGGGCCAACAAGCCAAAAGCCAACAAAAAAGTTACTCAAAGCAGCTTTTTCATTTTGGCTTAAAAGCTAGCTTTTTCACTGGCTAAAAAGTCAATTACCAAACACATTTTTTGGCTGTTTGAACTTATAAAAAAACCAAAAGCCAAAAGCTAACCAAAAAGTCATTTACCAAACATGGCCATTGTCTCTTCTCTTTTCTCCTATACTTTCCTAATTTCTGATTTCTTTCTCTTTTATTTTCTCTCTCCTCTATTTTTCTCTCTATTTTATTTTTCTCTCTCTAGAATTCATTCATCATCCTTTTAATTAAATTCCTTCATTACCATAGTTGATCATCATAGAGTGAATTCCTTCGTTATTATAGATTAAATTCAATATTTTCTTCAACCTTCGATTTTAAGCTTTGTTAATGGATGGAGTTTTTACAATGAAGTAGTGAAGCTAAAATGGCGCCGTCGTCGAGGAGAAGGTGGTTAAGACGACGGAGATGATTATTTTTCCGATGAGATTTCATTATCTAAATCACCATGGCTAGGTTTGAGTTTTGGAGTATGTAACTTTCATATTCTTTTGATTTTTTTTAGTAATAATTAAGTATTTTGTTATAAACAGTTCTGTATTTGATTATATTTTAGTATTTTGAACAATTTAAGTTAAAAATATGAACGTATTATATTTTTAGTCGTTCTTTCGGGGACGGAGGGAGTAGTAAATTTCTTAAAACTCAAATAATGTGTTCCAATGCAAATTATAACATACACCCTTGTGGCCTTGTGCATGTAGTTTTGTGTGAACTAGTAATTAAACGGTGCGTTTAATTGGGTAATTTCACAAAACTTCAATGTTCTTCTTTTACTTTTGTATTTCGCATGTCTTCCTCGTCTTTCCTTAATTAAATCTGTCCAATTTTCTGACTCCGTCTTCTCTTCTTCTTAAACTTTCCTCCACTTTCTTACTCCTCTATTTTTCTCTCTCCTCTATTTTTCTCTTTCTGAATTGATTGAGTTCATTCATCACTTTGTAACTCAATAAGTTGACCACTCAGCTTGTATGAATTCGTTAATCGCCATTAAATTACTGAGCACCATGGATGACATTCTTATACATACCTAACGATCCGAGACCGGCAATGTATGCCAGATTTTTTTTATTACAATTGATATTAATTTCTAATTAATTACGTCATATTTTCTTAATGCATTTTAATGATTTTGAAATTGAAATTGATTTGATTGAGGTTTTGATGATTTGGCAATCTAAACTACGTAATCTTTCAATTATTAGTTGTAATTTGGTTTACTTTCTTATAATTCAACTAGCCTTTTGGCCCGTTCAATGCACGGGTTGTTACTTGGTTTTTATATCTTGGTTTTCTACTTTCTTATAATTCAACTAGCCTTTTGATGATTTGGCCCGTTCAATGCACGGGTTGTTATTATTGAGGTTTTATATCTTTTCTTATGTGCGTTTGATAATATACTAATCTTTCATGTTCTTTGATGATGCTTCTACTCCGAGGTTTTTGTTCCTCAAGGGGAACTTCTCTTCTCTGGTGAAGCTTTTGTTCCCCGAGGGAAACTTTCTCTTCTCAAGTCTTCAATTCTGAAGCACCAGTTCCTCCTAAGGAACTCTTCTTTTTGGATAGCGCAGCTTTGCTTCCGGACTTCTTGTTCCTCATGGTATTTTCACAAGACTCTTAGTTCTCCTGGTCTTTGCAACTGACCACACACTTAAACAATCAAGTACTTATTAGTTTGTAAGTAAGGGAGGTTGTGTCATCATTAAAATCATTAAGTCCAACAATTTTTTTTTAAATAATATTTAATTAGACCAATTACATTACGACACATGTCCCGGGGAACCGGTTTTAAAGGTTACAAGTTTTTTGTCTTGTTTAAAATTAACACCCGTTAAAAGTTATATTATTCTAGAATAATCCAAAGGTTGTATTACTTTATTTTTTTTTAAAAAAAAAAACGGTCAAAGGTTGTACTCCGTATTATTTTCTACAATTTTTCCTATTATTTATGGTTAAAATAACAAATAATTAAGTTTTAGTAGTAACCATGTGTGGCATGGGTCCTAAACATAAGTATACTTAACCCGTAGTTGAAACTGACCAAAACCCAAAACTATTCGACTCAAAATGAATATAATTCCACCGACCATTTTAACATTTCTAATCTAAATTAAAAAGATCAACTTCCCTAAATTACAATCAAATCATCAAACAAGGAAAGAAATCAGATTATTAATTGTGGAAAGAATTCACAAGCAAATTAAAGAAAAAGAATCAACTCATGCGTGTGAAAAGAAATCAAGTCTTTGCATAGTTGCATACAATCAGTTTTATGTTTGCTAAATGTAACATAAACTTGGTTGCAACTTGCACGCAAATCACTTTTGTTGCACATATGTTAATACTTTCCCAGAATTTCATGTTGTGAAATGTGCATGCATAAGAGCATCTTTAAGGGTGAACATTTTAATAGTTCACAATGAGTGAATAAATAAGGTGGTGGCTTAATGGCAAACTCTTTAATTGTTCATGTTGAGTGGTCATAAGTTCGATTGCAGGAGCAAGCACTTGCATGAATTAATTCGCTGTGGGCCCCACCAATATTTTGGACTGATATTCATGCAAAACGACGTCGTTTTGCTGTTTCATGTTGCAAAACGACGTCGTTTTGCTGTTAAAGGTCAGAAAAAAATAGAAATCAGCGGCTGGGAGCGCGCCACTTGGCCCAGCCGCTGCTTGACACGTGTGTACTGTTTTAAATATATCCGTTGTAATTTTACAACGGATATATTTTACAAAATACAAATCAAAAAAAAAAAAAAAAATTGCCAACGACTATTTTTTTTCCCCTCTATAAATAGACACCCATATTGATATACTTTTTTCAACTTTGAAAATTCATTTTTTTTTCTACTATATTTTTCTCTTCAAAAATCCCCTCTATAATTACCAATATTATTATTATTTATACCAATAGTAATATTATTATTGTTATTATTATTTTTAATTAGTAATCACGATTAAAATATTAGTTTTTTAAAAAGCTGATAAAAAAATGCGATAATTTCTTAATTAGTAATCACGATTAAAATATTAAATACGTCAATTAATTACATTGACATCGGGTTAATAAATTATAATTATGAAACAAAAAAGATTATATTTACAAAAATAAAATAAGGTGGGGTAGGGAGTATTGATGATGAACCATTGTTTAGTGTTCACTGTTAAGAGTGAATATTGTAAATGGTTTGTTGGGTTGATGTGGATGAGAGAGAAATGGTGATAGTGACCCATGAATCATTTTTTTGTGTTCACCAATAATGATGCTCTTATAATCTCACGTGCTCTTGTCTGAACAAAGTAGCCCAAGCAAACTTCCAGCCCAATTCTAACAAAACCCCGTATTCTTTCATTAATGTTTAAAAGCCTCAACTACAGTCTCTCTCCTCCGCGATGAACTCATCGACGAAATCACGAAACAAAATTTATTAATCAAAGAATGAAATTTTGCTGCAATTGGTCGCAACAAATCAATTAATGAATTAGAATCAAGCACAAATAACAATGAAGGTATCAGTCTCTATTTTGTTTCAATTCTGCCAAAATTTCGATTTTTTGTTTTCATGAACAATGGGTGTTTATGTGGAGAATAGATCTGAAGCATGCAATTAAGTTTCAAAATTAGGGGAAATCAACATAAAATCATAGATAACTATTCAGATCTAATACTAGTGCACATAAAAATTTCGAATCAATTAAATTATTGAATTTATGAAGCTTAATTGCTTTGATTCATAAGTAAAGAGTATAGTTGGGGTAAAGTACAGATTACATAGATGGTGAATTGATTTTGGTTACATTGATTTTAATCTTGATTAAAAGGATTTGAGTAGTTACAAATAACATAATATACTTATTAAAGGCGACTATAAGTTAATAAAGGTCACTATGGCTATTTTGACATTAGTTGTGTAATAGGATTTGAGTATTAGATAACCTAGAATCAATTTGTAGAGGTAGAGTTACGTATCTACTAATTTCTTTGATTATACTGCCAATGCCAAATCTATATTTCTTTAAGGTGAAAAATATAAGTTTCTTGCAATATAATTTGATTTAATTAAGTCTAAGAATACACCTATCTGAGCTGTGAATTTGAATTGAAATTGTCAAATGGGGCATGAAGGTAGTGAAATGTGCTAACCATTGTCAGACCCTGTGTTTTTAATGGGATCTATTTTTCTTCTTTTTGCACCCAATTTAAGGGTCAATAATCGATCTTACTGGATATCGGCATATTTATGATTTTTGTTGGGGTTTATTATATCATGAAGCAAAAAACAGAGGTGTATGGAAACTTGTTTTCTTAGAGGCATATGTGGTTCCTTCCCTTCTTTCTTCTAGGAAACCAAGATTAAATTTTCATTTTTAGTAAGAGGGTTAAACCTTGCTTGAATATCTATAACCCTTAATAAAAGTGGGAAGTTAGTAACAGTATTTTTTGGGGTTATTACACTTACACCCCCGAAATCAATGGATTGCCGAAATTACCCATTTATTCTAATTGGTTGATGCTTCATGCTTGAGTGATTTATCACCGACTTCCCTTAGCTCTCTTTCTTCTAATCTCAGAAAGAAGCTCAGACTTTTTATGGAAACAAGGAGAGAGAAAGCTAGAGAGAGAAAATATGTTTCCTTCAACAACAATGGCGATTAGCTCAAAATTACCATTGGAGCAGTTTCTGAGGTTAGTTTTTTTCTTTGAATTAGTTGATCAATTACCACTCCTCTCTTGTGAATTCGATTCCTCCAGTTTCGGCCCGCCGTCTCCGAGGTTCCCGTTCAGTCTGAGATTGTGTTTTAATTTCCTCCATTAAAGCAGTAATAATTTACAAGGGCGGCGGCTTAACTATCAGAAGAATGGGGAGATATTCAGCTTCGACGTTTTCGTGATATGCCTACCACCACCGATTTCCCCTCCGTCACAGCTTTTCGGTAACAAAAAAAAATTGATTATTGTTGTTGTTCATTTGATGGTTAATTACCCAACATTTGATTTATTTTTGTTGATTGTGAAATGGGGTAATGTGAATTTTTGTGGGTTTTTGAAAATTTGAGGTTTTTGTGGTTTAATTTAATTTTGTAATTGAATTTTTCTAGATATCCTCTCTTTAATTTAATTTTGTAATTGAATTGAGGAAATTTTAATCAGAAATAATCTGAGTAATCCATGAATGAAGGAGTGTTGATGAAATTCTAAGAATTTTCGCCCTTTTGATTCAGGTTTTCTTTTTTTGTCGAACAAGAAAAAGAGGAGACATATTGCGATGAACGGCGGCAGGGGTACTGGTGATGGCGAAGTTTCCGGCATCCGACTGCCGCTATCTCAGGACTGCAACCACTTAAAATATAGACGAAACTCATAAACTTGTAATGTATTTTCTTTCCCTTTCAATTTGTTGTGGTTGAATAGAAAGATAGAAAAATTGCTCATTTCTAAAATATTAGGCTTCAATTTTTATAAACAATGCTTCTAAATAGCAACTTCTTAATTCAGGCATTCTTTTTTGTCATTGAACTATAAGTTTTGAGTTTTCTTCTCATTTTGGTTATAATATTCATGGGTGTAAAAATTTCTACTTTACTTGAGCTTTGTCATTCATTTGGGTATCCATGTCTGTGAAATGATCTGATACAACTCATAATTTTGTTCTTTCTATTCTCTTAAATTTATTATCTGCAGTATGATCTTATATGATAGTAATTGTTAGTTCAATTATGATTGCATTTGTATAATTGATCATAATCTCATAAAACCCAAAAGGGATCTTATTTAATTGTTATTATATACTTGTGTATGTATTTCCTTAAAAAATTGTTAAATTCATGTATTTGTTGGGTTGGATTTAGAAAAGATTAAGACAAAAAAAAAAGGAAAATTATGATGGACTAAATTTAGAGATTGATTTTAGGCAATGTATTTGATAAGACCCTTATATAAACTATTTAAGCTTTGAGTAGAAGATGAAGAGTTCTAAATTTTGATTAAGAAATTGATGATTTACTAAAATTGAGTATTTTTTTATTATTAGCAGGAGTTGAAATCAATAAAATGTGTATAATGGAGATGTGATCGACAATTCAGAGTGTGAATCCTCCACTAGCACCTCCATTGCCCGGTGCACAACCTAAGAGGGTTTTGCTTAAGTCCAAGGGCATGTCATCTTATGAAGACCAAGGCTCTGTGAGCACTACAATAACAAATTTGTATGACCGCCATTTTAATGAAGATTATTGAGCTGATGTTGTCATTCATATAGATGATGGTGCCGAATTTATGCCCATGCTAATATATTGGTAAGATCTTTCTGAACCCATTTGACTATTTGATTTTTTTTTTTTTTTTTTGAATGAAATTAGACAATTCTTAATTCAGCTTGTCAACTTTGATCAGTAATATGCACATTATTTTTTGCATGCTGACTGCTGTGTTTCTGCTGTCATTCTGCAGCTATAACCCAGAAGATATGGAGGACTATATTTTGCACCTTCTGGTATTGTCTCATGTGTATGTTGTTCCTCATTTGAAAAGGGAGTGTGAGGTACAGCCGGAGAACGACTTGCTTAACATAAAAACAGTGTCGACGTTCTCCAGATTCCTCTTCTATGTTATGCCCCAAGGCTCAGCTCATTTGTCTCTGGAATGCGATGAAAGAGGCTCACCTAATCCTAGAAAGAGAGTTTCTAGCGACTGTGGCCGAAGCTGATAGAGTAAGTATACAATTATTCATTTTTAATCGTATATATATATATGGTGCTCCATGTCTGTCTATATTAATGTTTATTTGTGACTAGTAGAGGTGTCCACCGTGCGAGTCGTGCGAGCTGGGTTAGGGTTAGGTGGGTCGCGGGTTGGGGTTTCATGACACACGGCACGACACACGTAGGGTAGGGTGGGCCGGGTCGTGGGTTGGGTCGGAGAAGTTGGACACACCAGGGTTAGGTTCGTGGGTTAGACGAGTCGTGGGTGGGTCGAGCTGGGTTTGTGGGTTAGACGGATCGTGGGTGGGTCGAGCTGGGTTTGTGGGTTAGACGGGTCATGGGTGGGTCGAGCTAGGTTCGTGGGTTAGACGGGTCAAGGTGGGTTAGTGAGTTAGGGTGGGTCGAAGGGTGGGTTAGTGGGTTAGGGTCGGGTGGGTTTGTGGGTTAGGTGGGTTAGGGTCGGGTGGGTTAGTGGGTTAGGGTCGGGTGGGTTTGTGGGTTAGGTGGGTTAGGGTCGGGTGGGTTTGTGGGTTAGGGTCGGGTGGGTTCGTGGGTTAGGGTCGGGTGGGTTGTGTGGTGTTTTAATTTTTACAAAATTAACAATTTGATGGCTTGCTCTTAATTAAGATGCCTACGTATCCTTATATTATAAAATAAGGAATCAAAGCCAGCGTAGTTCTTATATTGTACTTCTTTTGAAATTTGGGGGGGGGCTTGGACCTATCTTTAGAAAACTAAAATTTAATTTTGCAATTAAATTGTAATTTTCGAAAAATAAGTTGCCTACGTATCCCGAAAGAATCAAAGCCCACGTAGTTCTTAGCGTACCTGATTTAGACTTTTCTAGCCACCCATGTTTGTTGCATCATCATCCCCGGAAGCTGCATCATCCGTTGACGACTCCAATATCATCACAGGATCATCTTCATCGTCTTCGTCTTCCTTTAAACCTTGAGTTCTTCTTTCAGCTTGATCCCAATCTTTCTTACAAACACAAATTTGAATGCTTTCCGGAGTTAAGCGAGATCTTTTTTCATCTAACACTCTTCTACCTGCACTAAAAGCAGACTCGGAAGCAACAGATGAAGCGGGAACTGCAAGTATATCTTTTGCAATTCTCACCAATATAGGAAAACTTTTTTTATGTTCTTGCCACCATTTTATAATTTGAAAGTTGTTGTTGGTCTCATGTTGATATGACAAATAATCATTAATAGCAAGTGTTGAAGAAGATGATGATGAGAATGATGTAGATGCTTTGTGTTTTTTTTTCATAACTTTATCAAGAAAACCAAATCTAGAATCGGAAGTGCTAGTAGTAGTTGGTGTTGCCAAATCAAAACCATAAATAGATGCATAATGATCATAAAGGTCTCCCAAAACAGATTTGCATTTGTTAATATATTCACTAACATCATAATCGATACTTAAACTTGTATAATAAAATTCTAAAAGATTTTCCAAACCTTCAGCTTTGACACCGGGGTCAAGAATAGCAGCAATTCCATAAATGATTGGAAATTCACTAAAATAAGTATGCCACTTACGTTTCATGCTATCAAGAACGGGACGAAGTCCATCAATCTTCATATGCTCTTCGATGGTGTGAACAACTTTAACACACTCAATTATGACTAAATGAACGTTAGGCTCATAAATATAAGAGAAAATATGAGTTGCACTATCAAAAGCATTTAAAACATCACGAACAAAAGAAGCATTAGTCCAATGACTTTCGGTTATTAACTCAGTAGGATCAACACGAGTCTCATTGTAAAGTTGGGTCAAAATATCACGATACTTTATAGCATCACTCAACAACTTGAAAGTAGAATTCCAACGGGTAGGGGTATCAATAGACCATTGTCTTTTCTTAAGACCTCTCTCTTTACACATAGCTATGTACTTTCTTCTAACTGACTGAGTAATCCTAATCCATTTTATAACTGTTCTAATTGGGTTTAGCAATGGTTGCAACTCAGCGAGACCCTCTTGAACAGACAAATTCAAAATATGAGCACAACATCTAACATGCAAGAGACTACCACCCAACAACAAATTCAACTCGGAGTCATTTTTCAAATAGTCAATACACTTTGTGTTTGCAGTTGCATTATCAAGAGACAAAGAAAAAACTTTATTATTCAAGTGAAATTCTTTTAAACAATCCAAAATACGAACTTTGATGTTAAAACCGGTATGCCTTTCTTCCATAGCTTGAAAACATAGTATACGTTTTTGAATAAACCAATCATCATCCACCCAATGAGCAGTAATGCAAAGAAAAGGTTCGCCAAAACTAGAAGTCCATGTATCACTTGTAAAACTAACACGACCATCAAAAGTACGAAATAATTCAATCAAACCACTCCTATACTTATAATAAGAAGTTTGTGTATAACGTCTTAGGGTATTTCGGGGGACACGAGTAAATGCAGGTTGTAATGCAACTTTATTAAAATGCTCAACGTTTGCATTTTCACCGTAACTAAAAGGGTATTCATTAGCAATAACTAAAGTACTCATTTCATCAATCATTCTATCTTTATTATAAATGAAAGGTGTACCTCCGCCGGGTTGGTTCATGTATCCACCCAATTGTGTTTGGACGCCACCCCCCGAAGGACGGGGGCCATTTTCGAACAAGTCGTGTTTATTTTGCAAATGCCGACTCAAGGTTCCGGTTCCATCTCCCGTTTTCCAATTATATGACTTGACATTTGCACCTAGCGCCTTGCAAACTAGGCATGTACACGTGAACCTCTTTGGTTGACCAGGTTGCCATCCCGGGGGTGTGACCTCAACTCGTTCAAAATGTTTCCACACCCAAGAAAAATGTGCTCGACCTCTACTTTCACCGCCACCACCTTTCATAAATCAAATTATTAAAATTAATTTTTAAATGCTATTCATGAAAATAAGCTTTTAAATTTTAAATATTTTAATTATACTTATTTAAACGCATTTTTCATGGTAATTAACTAATTGTAAATCATAGAAAATTGGAAACTAAACTAACTTTATAATCATTAATAATAGTTTTTTTAAATATTCATAACAATAAAAATTTAATTAGAAATTATCTCGAGATGAAGGTTGAGATGTTGGTTGCGATGGAGGTGGCATAGTTGAACTTGATGATTGGTGGGACTCGTGGGAGAAATGTTGTGGTGGAGACGTTTGAATATTTTGCCTATCTCCTAAACCATAATCTCCATATTCATTGACAAATTGGTTTAAATTTTCCGTATTAATTTCATACGAAAAATTTGCACCACCACTCCTTTGGCTACCACTTCGACCACCACTTTGACTCCTTCCCATTCCTCCTCTTGAGCTCATTTTTTTTTTGTATGATTACTAATTATAATATGGAGAAGAACTTTTTTTTTTTAGAATCTTAAGAATACTAATAATAATATTAAGGAGATTTTTTTTAACAAAAATATAACTCTATATAACACTTGAGAATTTGAGAACAATAAGAATTTTTAAGTAAGAGAGAAAGAAAGCTTGAATTTGTGTGGAAATTTGAGTGAAATGGAATTGGTATTTATAGGAAAAATAGAATGGATGATCATACACTTAAAAAACTAGCCGTTAGATACAAAAAACTAGCCGTTTTTTTTTTTAAAATGGATGTTAGGCCGTGCGGGCCGTGCGGGTCGTGCGGGCTGTGCGGGCCGTGCGGGTTGTGCGGGCCGTGCGGGTTGTGCCGGCCGTGCGGGTTGGGTGGGTCATGCGTGCGGGTTGGGTGGGTCATGCGTGCGGGTTAGGTGGGTTGGCTCGTGCGGGTTGGGTGGGTCATTTGTGCGGGTGGGCCGTGCGGGCTGGGTTGTGCCAGGTGGGTCGGGTTAGGTGGGTTCACGGGCTAGGTGTGTCGAATTAAATGAGTCAAAACGGGTTGTGCGATTTGGGTCGAATCAAACGGGTTAAACTGAGCTGGGTTGAAATGGGTTGTGTCGAAAATTTTGGACCCACGACACAACCCGGATTAAATCCGAGCTGTGCCGGGCTGTGCCGGATTGAAACCGGGTCGGACCCACGTGACCCACCAGCCGTGCGAGTTAGGGTGGGCTGGGTCCAACCCGGCCCACTGGCCACCTCTATTTGTGAGTATATTCTCATTTGCTCAATTTTGGACTAAGCTCAACTTTTGACCTTTATAACTTTGTAAGTAATTAATTTATATGAAGGGATCTAGAGAAAATGGGAGGAGTATAAAAGTATATTTTTTATATTTTACTGAACCATTTCTTCTAGGGTTCCTTAGATACTGTAAAATTTATTTGGGTGGGAATTTTTTGGCATCAAAGATTAGGTGCGACGGTGACACTAGGTTTATAACGTTTTGATTTCAATTGGAGTCGGTGTATAAGTTGATTCAAGTGAAATTATGGTGGTTGTTGCTACTGTCAGGGCTGCTGGAGCAATTGCGGAGGTTTATTTCTGTGGATTATACAGGGCACTAAACATGTTTAAAGGAGTTTCTGATGGTAAAGGGATCAGCAATTGGTACTTAAGAATTGGGTGGTAAGTGATCCCATCCATCTCTAATTTTGTTCTAATATTCAACCAATTGGTTTGGAATATTTGCTGTTAAATTTCCCCCTTAATTCATAGTGGTGGACATTGGTGTTTTGTATCAGCCTAAGATTTATGTTCAGTTATCACTTTGCTAATTCAGGTGTAATAAGCACCGTTATTATTTCCTCTTTTTTTTTCTGTATGCCTACTTATCCTTTTGGAGCTTTCAGTATGTGACTTTGTTTGTGTTCGTGTGTTTTGTTTCTGGTTAGCAGAGCCTTCGAGTTCTCATTTTGCTTTTATTAAATTTTGGTATTGATGGACTGAAATTGATATACGAACACACAATGATTAAGTACTCAAACTATCAATTTTGCAGGTAAAGGGTAAAGAACTATTTTAAAGAGATCTGCCATCACTTGATGATTCCCGTGCTGAACAGCTTCTGCCAAGATGTTCGACTTGGAGGAGGTAATTTGTTTCAGATGATTATAGCTTGTGGTGGTATTAGAAAGGAGATTCTAGATCATTATCTCTCTCCTCCGTTCCCTTGATATCTGAATGTTGAATTTCCTTCCATCTTGTTTGGGTTTTCATTGTGGCATACTGGCATTTTAACAAGCAGTTGGTGTTCATGCTGGGGTTGTTAAATAGATGTTGAAAAATTGCTTTGTGGTTAACAAATTTCGGCCTCACACATCTGGGATTTGACTAGGTTTCTGAATTGTGTACTTTGTTGTTTGATATGGGCTTTTCTCGAATTGTTTTGAGTTAATGTAGGATTAATGGAAAAATGGTTAAGGATCTTATGTATGAACTTAAGCTGAAATTTGATCATTATCATTGAAGCCTATTGGAAATCTGGACTATGCAACTGCTAAGTGGTGTTTTGGACTTAGATTTCATGTTGGGAGTTCATATGGAGCTTTCGTGACTAGGTAGTGAATATGAGTGTTAGGAATTTAATCGGCTACTTGCACTGTGATTTCTTTGTGTGCAAAATGGCACACCCTTGCTACAATCTGCATAATTATTACAACCCCAAGATTATAAAATATACTTGTCCATTGCTATTGCCTATATTGATGAGTAAATCGTAGAAATTAAGGTTTAACAAAAAAAATATATCTTCTAAACATTGTTGTTCACTAGTAGAAAAAACATGATGGGAAGCGGTTCAAAACCCCAAATGGGAAGCGGTTTTGAACCGCATGGGTTTGGGGGGCTTCCCAATTGCCATGTAAATGGCCAGTGGTTCCCATTAGATTATGTGCAGTGCAAATGGCAAGCGATTTTGGCGCCAAACCGCTTCCCATTTGTATTTTTTTATTTATTTTAATAATATATATAATTAATAATAATAATAATAATATTATTATTAGTGACCTATTTTGATATGCACATTAATCCAGTTTTTTAAAAATTATTATTATTATTAATATTATTATTAATTAATATTAATAATTAATAATAATTAATTAAAAATATTACAAATTTTGGAATAATAATAATTCAATAACAATAAAATTCATAATAATAATAACATATATAAAACTCATAAATAATGTATAGTACTAATTACAAAATAAGTAATATAATGTACATATGGATTTACTACATACTAAAAATATAACTCAATCAAATTCATTATCTAACTAACACACACACACACACACACACACATATATATATATATATATATATATATATATATATATATATATATATATATATATATTATATTTTCTACCTAGATGCCATCAAATGTCACAAAAAAAGCCCACATGTCGCGAATTTCATCAACTTCTTCCTTTGTCAAAGGGCCTTCCCTTTGAATCTTACAAACCTTTGAAAAGAAAAAAATACCAAACATTAAACATCATTCATGTATTACATAAAATTCAAATTAATAATTAAAAAATAATAATATATATATGTTAAATATTTCAAACATCATTCTAACTTGCCCGATTTAGCATTCAACGAACTAAGTTTTAGGACGACTTTTACCAATTTGCCCGTTTTCTACATTTCTTATCTAATGAGCTATTTATCTATCATAACATGTCAATTACAACTAGTCTTAGGTGTCTAATGTTTGAAATCATAGCAAATTAGCATTCTTCTAAGTTTTAGGATGGCTTTTACCAAAAATCGCCTATTTGACTTCTAACTTGCCCGATTTCTACATTTCTTATCTAATGAGCAATTTCTTTATCATAACATGTCAATTATAACTAGTCTTAGGTGTCTAATGTTTGAAATCATAGCAAATTAGCATTCTTCTAATTTTTAGGACGTCTTTTAACAAAAATCGCCTATTTCACTACTACTTTGCCCGTTTTCTACATTTCTTATCTAATGAGCTATTTATCTATCATAACATGTCAATTACAACTAGTCTTAGGTATCTAATGTTTGAAATCATAGCAAATTAGCATTCTTCTAAGTTTTAGGACGGCTTTTACCAAAAATCGCCTATTTGACTTCTAACTTACCCGATTTCTACATTTCTTATCTAATGAGCAATTTCTTTATCATAACATGTCAATTATAACTAGTCTTAGGTGTCTAATACACTAACAATGCAAGTACGTAAAAATTACACAAAATTGCATGAACGACTCGGTTTCTTGAACGGATGATGCCTGGGCTGCTGCAGGAGGAGGCAGCTGCCTTGGCAGCTTCCTGGTGGCTGCTGCAGCTGCCTTGGCTGGTGGCTGCAGGAGCTGCCTTGGCAGATGCCTGGTGCCTGGCAGCTGTTGCAGTTTGGTGGCTGGCTGCTTGCAGCTGCCTGTCATAACCCGAGGCAAGTGTTGTAGTTGCCTCGGGTGCTCACTTTCCCAATTTCTACATTTCTTACCTAATGAGCAATTTCATTATCACAACATGTCAATTATAACTAGTATTACGTGTCTAATGTTTGAAATCATTGCAAATTACCATTATACTAAGTTTTAGGACGGTTTTTACCCGAAATCGCCTATTTCACTACTACTTTGCCCGGTTTCTTCATTTCTTATCTAATGAGCAATTTCTTTATCATAACATGTCAATTATAACTAGTCTTAGGTGTTTAATGTTTGAAATCATAGGAAATTAGCATTCTACTAAGTTTTAGGACGACTTTTACCCAAAATCGCCTATTTCACTACTACTTTGCCCGATTTCTACATTTCTTATCTAATGAGCAATTTCTTTATCATAACATGTCAATTATAACTAGTCTTACGTGTCTAATGTTTGAAATCATAGGAAATTAGCATTCTACTAAGTTTTAGGACGGCTTTTACCCGAAATCGCCTATTTCACTACTACGTTGCCCGATTTCTACATTTCTTATCTAATGAGCTATTTCTTTATCATAACATGTCAATTACAACTTGTCTTAGGTGTCTAATGTTTGGAATCATAGCAAATTATCATTATACTTAGTTTTAGGACGACTTTTACCCGAAATTTAATCGCAAAAAAGTAAAAACAAGTACCTCCTCAATGTGTGCTGGGCTTCAGTGCACCTATTGACTATGTCATGCATAAACCTCATCACGTATAGGGCACAATCAACGCCGTTGTCTTGTTGCGCACACTAAAATGACACAAAGTTAAAATAGTCATGCTATGATAAAACTCAAGGCAATTTTATTAAATAAATCAATATATCAAGGCTTTACCTTTGCATATTTCCACGTGGGACCCGCAACCGAACGACAATTCAACTTCTTCATAACACTTCAAAAAAATTAAAAACAAACGATTTAGGAACATAGCCACTCAATCACTTAGGTGATGATACAAAACAAAATATATAAAGCGGTATGTACCTATTCAATAGGTTATTCACTAGCAACTTCCTGGGTGGCCATATACGGGCCGAGTCAAAGTAGTAGATTGTGTTATTGGAAACACAAATCACCATAAGGCTCCAATGTAGACTACATGTATATTAAAGCAAATATCAATCCTTCAATTGTTATGCGTCAACATCTATACTTAACAAACAAATTAAGAGTGACATATTTAAACTTACTCCTCAAAACAAGGGGCTAATAAGAACTTGTTTTCCGCACGCATTGATTCTCTAATACCCCGCTCAAGGTAATCTATCACATCACGAGGGTTATGCAAGCATTTGGTTACGGAGGTCTGCTCGGGGCATAACCACCCAACTGCTGCTTCACCATCGGGTTTACTAGCAAGGAGCTCCTATAGTGACCTTCAAGAAAGTAATGTGTGCAAGTAATTACTAGTTGCATTGTTTTGGTACGAAAATATCAAAAATACAATATGTTTAGAAATAGTCTCGTTAATTTACCTCATGAATGTTTGAATGATGGAAATGTTAAGCATGGAACCGGTTAGAAATTCCGTCACATCCTCTTTAGAAATGTATGCGATCGAATCCTCATCATAGTGGAGCAATGCCTTAGGCAAGTTCACTTGAATATGTGTACCCGTAGGCAACTCACTAACACGGTTGTGAAGAAAAGTACACGCTTTTGAAAGCGACCTAAGGACTTTGACTTCTACTAGTGGAGTACATGAAGCTCTCGAACTCTTCTTCGACACTTGTCCTTGTTCCATCTTCAGAGGACCTTCTTCCTTGGATTTTTGCTTCTCCACCTTCTTCCTTTTAGCGGAATGAATGTCCATAGTAATCTAATAGCATAAAAAAACATGGTCATTGCACAAAGCACATGTTAATCTAGTTACATACAAGTAGTTACATACAAGTATTGTTTACTTACCCCTCCTACCAACCTCAACCGATCACGTGGCCATTGCACAAAGCTCCCGGTCGCGTCACGCAGCTTAAAAAAATCATATTACTCTCTAGGTACTGGTAGTGGTAAGTCCTCAAACCCAGCAACTATAGAATCGATCCCGACCGAGATGTAATGGGTGCTAGTATTAGACTTAAAATGCACCTTGTCAAAAGGTTGTGCACTATCATACCCCACCAACTGCAACTGTCCACCAGTTGTTTCCCCGGGGTGAAGAAGCTCACAAGGCGTCTCTTCCTACATAATTGGTTAGGAGTTAGGACATAAGTTAAGAAATAATAAACGAAAGCCTAACATAAGAAAAGCTGATTACGTAGTGAAGTTCACCTCAACATCTGGGAAAGGTTCAGGCATCGGATTTGCTCTCTTCAGTGACTCTGCATCCCCAGGATTTGGATCCTGCAAAAGTAAAATAATTAAACATGCAAACGACCTCATTAGACGAACTTCATATGAGGTATTTCGTCCTTTTACTAAAATTACCTCTCTCTCAACTACTGGATCGTCCTCGGGGCCTCCTGGGTGACTACTCATATTTAGTTGATTGATCTTAGGCAAGGGATAGAAGTCGGCTACTCATATTTAGTTTCTTATAATGACTGATGCTAACATATATTTCTGAATGTGTAGGCAAAAAGCGAACAAGCTAGAATTAATGCCGGAAAGAAATTGTATAACCATCATATGGGTTGTAAGACCTTTGCGGAGTCAAGACCAAAGTGGGTCAAAGCGGGTCTATACCCCAAATCCATAATGTCATCAACTGATAAACCACTTTCTTCCACGGTCACAACTTTGGTTAATTGTGCAATCGACTGGTGGTGTGCTATGCATGGGATGGACAAGGAAACTGGCAAGTATGTCATGCAACCGGATAAGAAAGTAGTAGCAGATGCACTTGTAAGCAAATTTTTCTACTTATTAATTATATTTCCTTGTCAAGTACATTGTACTAAGATCTGATAAATTTTTGTGTTGTTAAATTAAGCTCGAGCATACTTCGGAAGTGATTGAAGGCAAGCTGACTCCAAGCATCGAACATGATCCTTTCACCTTAGCTTTGGGAAAACCATACCACCCTTGGCGAGTAATTG